TATTCGGAAATCAGCAGATAAGTCTCCTTTACAGTTCAAAATTTAATTGGTGACTGGTTAATGGATTTTTTTTTTTGATAACTCAGCTAACACCACAAGGTTAATGAACAAAGTTGTAAAGGAAAAAAATAGATACTTACGTGCTAGACGAATACAAATGAATATTCGACCTCATTCGCTAGACAAGATTTTTTTGTAGGAGCGTTAGTAATCATTCGAAAGCTTGAATATCTGGCTATAGCCGTACATGGCCGGTTTTTTTCAGAATAACCTTCTATAACGCTGTAAAAACCACAATAAAATGATGTTCACACCATGCGTTTTTTGAAATGTCGACTATATTTCGCTGGACAAAACTCCTTGTGCTGTAGAAAAAAGAAAAATTTATGCTTTATAGCTCGCCGGATAGGGCTCTTTCTTTAGATTATTAGTGATGATTTCATAGCGTATGTTCCACTGATTCCAACTCTGCGCTTATTTTCTGGGAAATACAGTTTCATTTCAGTGTAGCACGGAAATTAAAATTGAGCTTCATACTATGGCGACCTTGTTATCAGCCAACTCAAAGAGGGGAGAGAGGGGGCGGAGCGATCGATTGACATGGGCTAGATGTGTGGAGTGCAACTTTTTCTAAATTACGAATTTTCCTCCACTTTGAAAGAAACTTCTTATAAAAGCGATTGATTTAGACACTTTGAAAATTCACTACACATACAGATCTTTTGGTGCTTCCAGAGATTATACGCGTGAGAAAGAGTGTGAAACAAATTTATTTAGAGTTACACGCTTATAAAAAAGTGTCTTAAAAAATCGGCCAGGTGGGGTTGTAGCCAGAGATTTAGACTCTCAATGATTACCAAAACTCCACGAAAATCCTTGTCAGCAAAAGTATCGGTTCTTCATTGTCGCCGTCTAACATATAAGGATAAGGATTAAGCTCTCGGCGTTGATCAATCCCTGAGGGATGCGCCATGCATTTGACTTCAATTTTCAACTGCGTCTGAGGTGATTGAATGCACATCTGGCCTTTACAATGACTCGCGGTGGCCTCCTGCTGAGCCGAGTCAGTGCTGCTTATCCTCCCAGACAAGTCTGAGACCTGTCTGGTATCAATTTAGCGACCCCGAGGGATGGATGGCTTGGTGAACCATGAGAGCGAGATCAAACAGTGACCTCGTGTGAGACGCAGGGCACCTCTAACCACTTCGCCATGCGCTCAGTCTAACATATAGGTACCAAACCAAGCTGCAAGAAAAATATCAATATTGAATAAATCTAAATCATAGAAGAAACTATTTTTGATGAAAATGCCGAGGTTGAAATAAAGTGAACTGTTCGAGAATAGTAGCTGGTTATACATCCAGTAATGTTGAATGATATATAGTAGTGGCTATACATCCAGTAATGGAGAATGATATGGTGAACATTCGACCCAGGAAGGGATTGAGCCGCGTCTCACCCACATCGAAGAAGAGTGGTAGCTGAGTCGATGTCATCGTTGCGTAGTGGTAGTGATGTCCGGTATAGATGAGACGCGAGTTCAACTCCCACTTGGGTCGAATGTATCGCATGTCACTCAAGATCATTGAATATTTCAATTGTAACATCACAGCACTGCTAAAAAAACGGGAAAAACAGGAATTCTAGTAGCAATTGGTTAGTTCAAATAATGAATTCACGATGATCATCGCTCACCTTGGCCTGTTTTCTAAGAAGTTCTGGCATATCCTTCACTAATTCCTCAACCGGGATATCTGGATCATAATCGCGTATATTCTTCGGATTGGGAAAGTTGAAATTTATTGGAACGTCTCGATTTCCAAACAGAGACCACTTCTTTTTCTTTCCAAGTTTTGCAATTCCTTTCGCAATCTGTTGACAAAATTCTGATGAGCTGAGAAGATCGATTTGAAAAAACAATCTACTCAATAAATAAAAGGATAAAGCTCTCGGCGTTGATCAATCCCTGAGGGATGCGCCATGCATCCGACTTCAATTTTTAACTTCGTTTGAGGTGATTGAATGCACATCAGGCCTTTACAATGACTCGCGGTAGCCTCCCGCTGAACCGAGTCAGTGCTGCTTATCCTCCCAGACAAGTATGAGACCTGTTTGGTACCAATTTACCGACCCCGGAGGGATGGATGAAATGATGAGCCATGAGCGCGAGATCGAACCATTGACCTCGTGTGCGATGCAGAGCACCTTTAACCACTGCGCCACATGCGCTCCAATCTACTCAATACTAACCTATATTTCTTTAGCTTTTAATTTAAAGGAAAGAAGCTATTGTTTGGAAATACAACGCGGTAAAAACAAAAATAGAAGGGCGAGAGGTGAAGAAAGACGAGGAGGGGCTGCGGCGGAATAAGTTGTGATGGTCAGCATGGCTCGACGTGGAACTGACCCCACAGCCTCGCAACACTTCCCGACAATCAGTAACGAACGCCCCAGCCTGGCTATCTTCGCGACTACAAGGGGACGTGTTCTACCAGTATTCCCCAACATTCGTGAAGAAGATGAAATCCTCAAGCGACCGGGGAGACGGACCGAATGCTAGAAGTACTGGGACGGGCACGCTAGGAAAAAACTGTGATGCGGGTCAATTCAAAAGAAATAGAATTACCTAGAGGAAACGGAGAAAAAAAATAAACAAGAAAGAACAAAAATGATGAAAAAATACCTCTTCCACGTCAGCTTTGGAACCCGTAATTGTAGTGTTGCCTCGTAACGTTGAAGTCCTTCGAAGATAACTGATTAAAAGAGATTTCAGGGCTCCTTGAATCTTCCGCCGGACATTGTCGCCGTCCATAGAGACGACTGCATTAACATTCTGTAAAATAACAACTTTAATAAGACTGAAAGACGACGGAAATAACATCGTCTTTCAATCGACTACCTTGGGAACTCGATCAAAAATTCAATATATGGCCTGATAGATTGCTCTATCCCTTTCAGGGGTCTCGTATGGCATTTCTAGTGGTCGACGTACGCTTCAGCTTCCTCGCAAGCCCATCAGGACCACGTACCACTCGGCTAGTCGTCCCTACTACTACTGCGAATCGTCGTCGAAGAACTATCACTCCATTTCAAGCAAAATAAACACTTGATGTTGCGTTCTTCGGGAATGATTGATTGTTAATTCACTATACCTCAACACCCGTAAGCCATGCATTCGACAACCAATCACTGCGAAAGAACGCAACATCAAATGTTCATTTCACTTGGACGTGGAGTGTAACTTCTTCGGCGACGATTCAGATAATAGTAGGGATGAGCAGCCGAATGGCATGTGGTACTCATGAGACTTGTGAGAAAGCTGAAACGTACATCTATCAGTATAGATGCCATAACACACCTTTGAAAGGCTTAGAACGTTTCTATCAGCTTAACGATTTGACACAGGAGGAAATCAACAGATCGCAGCAGAATGTGGACAGCTAATTCTCTGCTTCTTTCTGGTTATGAGGGGGACAAATGAAAAATCGATCTCATTCGCTGGAGAGGAATTTTTTGTAGGAGTGTTAGTAACCATTCGAAAGCTGAGAGTTCAGTCCATCTTAGACCACTACATCGGTTAGAGGTGCTCTGCCGCACTCGAAGCTCACCAGGCTTCCATCTCTCCGAGGTCGGAGAATTGATACCAAACTCGTCTGGGGGGATACCAGCACTGACACGATACACCGGTAGGCCAGCCAGTGCGAGTCTCTGCATAAGCCTTATATGCATTCAGCCACCTCTGCGATGCCACGAATGGAGTCGAATGCACGGTGGATTCCTCAGGGATTGACCAACGCCAAGAGCTTTATCCTCTAGCTTTTGAAGAGCCATATCCAGCCAATACTATGCATATCCCTCGAGATCGAATTCTTGTTGAACGGGAGATTTGAAAGGCTTCAGATTCATAGGAAGTGATTTCAAGCTTATGATCAAAAAAAGATCTGTGACGGTCAGTCTATGGAGAGAACCGCTTAGTTTTTTTATGGGAAATTGGTTTAGACGTGGGCTAGCGCATTGTATCAGGAAACAAGTGCGATAAGCAAGGCGTAGGTTCGATCCTCTTCCTAACGCTCCCTCGCAGTCAATCAACTGAACGTCTTAGGCTTAGGCTTAGCTAGGCTAGCTCCGAAAACTGCAAGGAGAATGGTCTCGACCTGAACTCTATGCCATTCGAGAAGAAGACGAAATTCTCAAGCACTACTCGAAGCAACACGCGAGATATTCGTTGACCTTTGTGGAGGACAAATGCGAGGAAACGAATCGAGTGAAAAAGCTGGTGTCCGCGCAGTGGAATCCGGTGGCGGTCGCTTCAAAAACGAGTGAAATGAAAGGAAATAAATCTTTTTGTCACGATCGGAAGGGAGAAAGGGGTGGGGGGGGAGGAGGAGGAGGATGGAGGGGAATCTCTTTGTCGGATCTGCTCTGGGAGGAGGGGAGGGGGTGGAAGGGAAAAAGTGCCCGGTTTATCAGCGGCAGGAACCAACTGATCGATCGGACACGAGGAACAAAATGTGCTTCGGCTTGATCTTCTGTGGAAAACACCCCACCCCCCCCCCTCCAAGCCAGTATAAAGGATAGCCAAGCTTCGACAGAATCAAAGAAAACCACGCCAATGCTGTAGATCACATCCGGGCGCTTTCCGCAAAACTCCGTCCATTTAGCAAAAACATGCAAAATTACGCAGTATTGCACACACGTCTTAAAAGTAACACTCCCATGACGACGGGCTTCCTTCGTTCTGACCACCTACGCCACTTTCCTGCCGAGTGCACTGTGACACCCCCGCATCTCGTACGGCCCACTCGCCCACACTTTGCGATGCTCCGCCCCTTTTATGTGATCTCCTCCTGGTAATCGATTACTCTCCGCGTTCTTGAAAGAAGTTCCAAACTTTTCTCTGTTTTATGTGCGCTCTAAGTTCCTCTGTGCATCCCTATGCTATGTATGATGCATGTATACCCTTTTTAGAGATATTGAAGAATGAGTGGTGGTGCGAATGTACCTCGGTGGTGTAGTGGTAGAGCATGCGTCCCCGGTATAGATGAGACGCGGGTTCGACTCCCGTCTAAGTTCGTAGTTTTGCTCACTATTCAATTCTGCTAGGTAATACTCGAAATCTAGTATCTACTGCATTTTTTCGCAGTGCTCTATGTTTTACATGTACCTAAGAGAATTGAGTGATGAGCAAAAACACGGCCTCAGGCGGGAATCGAACCCGCGTTTCATCCTATACGGGGACGCGTGCCCTACCACCAAACCCGCCGAGGTACATTCGCACCACCACTCATTCTACAATATGTCAAAAAAGGTTATACATGCATCAAAGACATGGCATAGGGATGCATAGAGGAACGAGTGCACATAAAGCAAGAAAAGTTCGGAACTTCTTCCAAGAACACGGAGAAAAATCGACTACCAGGAGGAGATCACAATAAAAGGGGCGGAGCATCGCAAAGTATGAGCGAGTGGGCCGTACGAGATCCGTGAATGTCACAGTTCTCCCAAGGTGTTTGTTGATTATTTGCGAGGGGTGTTGAAGGAAGGGAGGGGAAAAGTCAAGCCAGAGCATCGCTTTATCACACGTATTTCCTACACCAATCGCCGGACCACTGCGCTACTCCCGCCGCTAAACTCATCACCGATTTAAGAATTAGAAAGCAGCTACTTGCTTTTTAAAAAATCTCCATATGCTTTGCATGCGATGCCGGTCCATGAGGCAATTGCATCTCTTAACTGGCCACACCTTCTTCAATAGCAGTAATTTGTCTTGGCGAAATTTAAAAAATTATGTGATGAAATTCCCCGAGACCGACTCTCGGGTTAATCTCGGCAAGGATTGGATAAAAAGGTAAAGTGATAAGGCTTCTCGGCGTTGATCAATCCCTGAGGGATGCGCCATGCATTCGTCTTCAATTTCTAACTTCGATTGATGGTGACTGAATACATATCTGGCCTTACACAATGACTCGCGGTGGCCTCTCGGCTGAACCGAGTCAGTGCTGGTTTATCTTTTCAGGCAAGCTTGAGACCAGTACTGGTACGGATTTACCAACACCCGGAGGGTATGAATGGCTTGGTGAGCCATGCGCGCGATTCGAACCATGACCTCGGGTGTCCAGTGTGCCACATGCGCTCTCAATAATTCCGTATAATTCTCATTTAGCGCACACGAGGTTGCTCAAAGACGATTTATTGAATCCAGTGCACACAGTACAATAAATATGACAGCTTGCTAATGTTTTCGGCAGTTTCGTCTTCTCCAGAGCCTGAACAAGCCAAATTAACGTGCAATCCACGTAGTTAGACACGTTTGTAATCAAGGTATATGGAACCTAAAACGAAAACATAAAAGTTGAATCATATAGACCAAAAACCAAATTTGTTGAAAGACGAATGCCCGTTCATTAAGAGTGATTTCGCGCCACACTTTGGAGCGATTTTGTGGATCCGAGACAAACACCACATCTCCCGTGCTATACTCGGTGCGGCTGTTCTATATATTAACTAGTGAAATAGAAAACAACAAGTACGGTGAGTATCTAATAGAAGCTGTTTAATGCATACTTTAACATTTAAGTGTTCGCTTAGGTTTCATCCATTTGGGTTACAAAAGTGTTTTATCAATGTAGATTGCACGTCAGTTTGACTCTTTCACGGCTCTCAAGGAGGCGAAACTACCGAAACGTTATCCAGCTGTTGTATTTATTGTACTGTCTACGCTTTGCGTAATAAATCGTCTTTGACAGCCTCTATGTTCGATGAATAAGATTATACGGAATTAGATGAGAATATATCTATAAGGCATCTTTCCTTGGTCCGACATACATCGCACTATTTACGTTGAATAAGCTGCCGATTTGATTAAAAGAAGTATATTAAATGAACTTCCCTGTTGCATAAAGTAAGTTTACTGGAGAAAATGACACTGTAGGTGTCATCGTTGTTAAAAGTGTTGAAAATTATTATTCGATGCATGCTAGGATCGAAGTATAAAGTTGGTTTACAATACTGGCGAGAAATGAGACTCAGAAGAAGTAAAGGGTCTTGCGAGACAGACGGACACATCTCCAAAAACTGCAAATTTTGACTTGTATGAAAATCCGAATAAAGATTCATCGATATTCCTTCAAAAAATCCTTGAATGGTTTACTCCAGCATTTACAGTTTGACGACTACATCCGGGAGAGTGACTAATCCGCATGAAGTTTATTTTTTCGCCAAATTGGCAATGAATTTATATAAACTCATTCCAGTCGATTTGAAACTACACTTAATGACCCGACTCCTTCTCTATATGTTCTAGTGTTGTGCTAGTAATTCCTCTATTTCAGGTATTCTAGATATTTCGTTTCTTCCGTGTAGTGCTACATGCTTTCGGAATAATTCAAATTTGGTGAGTAGTGTTTATCGCACAACCACTGTGTTCTTGTATAGATTTTGAATTATAAAGAATGAAAACCACCTTCAAACTCTATGATGTAGAGTGGTATGCAAAAACGGTTGCATCAGACGGGATCTGAACCCGGACTTACTCTTTCCGGAAGCACGTGCTAAACCGTTGCGCCACCGACGCTCGCTTTGCACTTTATTCTTTATACGCTACAACGCGTTATCTGTCAACAGCCAACCGTCTACGGTGTGGCGGGAAGTCATTATCGACATTGAACCCACTTTTGTTGACAGAAATTGGGCTTCAATAATCAGTTGGAAATCATTTTTATTTGGCCTACCTATTGCGGTGTCATGATGTTTTCAATAAATCCAATGATGTAGAGTGCAACGGTTTAGCACATGCTCCCGGAAAGAGTAAGGTCTGGGTTCAAATCCGACTGACGCAAACGTTTTTGCACACCACTCTACATCATTAAGTTTAGTGAAAACATCATAACACCGCAATAGGCGGTCAAATAAAAATGATTTCCTACAAACTCTGTCAACAAAGTTAATAATCGCCAGAAGTGGCGACTTTAGAATAATCCTGGTGTTGTTATCGCGGAAATCTGTGCAATTCCACTATTTTCGTGAAAATTTAACTTCAGTATTTGGATCACATCCATGCTCAACGAATTCCAACAGTCGAGGAAAAACCGCATGTTGAAGTTAGATAAGTGAAACTAAACAGGAGAGCGATGAAGCTGTTTGCAGTAGGAACGAGGACGAAGCTTCCTCCTCAAAGGTTCGAATCTCAAAGGAAAAGTCAGATATTTACGGAAAGATGATATTTCGAATATTAATCCATAATATAATCATATTTAGCTTTCATTCATTACTTCAACAACAATTCACCCTCACACATCACAGTAAATGAGTAAATAGTCGAATAATCAATTGCATTATGGTTTTGTACTCTTGAGATCAATTTTGAATCATAAATCCATTAGTTGTGATATGTTCTGATTCCATGCAATACCTACATCATCAAACCTCTTCATTCGACTTCTTTTATAGACCTTTCTTAAAAACAATAATAATCTGATGATCACATAACATGTATTGAGCCTTTTTTGATGTCTGGTAGGACACTTGTACATTATTAGACGAGCCTGTTTCGCCCTTGCAGGCTCATCACTACCATCAGTAGTCACCACAATTTTGGGGGATCTATCACCTGACTTACGATGATTTGTTATTCGGCGTCGATTTGAGCCTTTTTGAGGTCTGGTAGGACACTTATACATTATTAGACGAGCCTGTTTCGCCCTTGCAGGCTCATCACTACCATCAGTAGTCACCACAATGTTGGGGGATCTATCACCTGACTTACGATGATTTGTTATTCGGCGTCGATTTGAGCCTTTTTTGAGGTCCGATAGGACACTTATACATTATTAGACGAGCCTGTTTTCGTCCTTGCACGCTCATCACTACCATCAGTAGTCCCACCAGTGTTTGGGGGATCTATCACCTGACTTACGATGATTTGTTATTCGGCGTCGATTTGAGCCTTTTTTGAGGTCTGATAGGACACTTATACATTATTAGACGAGCCTGTTTCGTCCTTGCACGCTCATCACTACCATCAGTAGTCACCACAGTGTTGGGGGATCTATCACCTGACTTACGATGATTTGATATTCGGCGTCGATTCCTTCATAAGTAGGGTTGTATTCCTAAAGGATCGCCTGAACCGAAAAGTACTGTGCTATTGATGAGCCTGCAATTGCGAAACGGATCCGTCCAGCTCTAATAATGCATAAATGCTCTACCAGACCTCACAGAAGGTTTAAAACATTATATGGTTATTAGGTTATATCACCTTAGTGGATGAAAACTTTTATCTACCATGTGTTCTGTGTCTGGGAACAACTGGCGACTCATGACAACGAACATGGGCACTAATCCAGATTTTTAATGTATTCCTGTTTAGTTGAATGCCTTTAAGACAATTTCTCGTGCCTCGTCTAGTTTCACCTAAGCGATTCAATTCAACGAAACCATGTAGGGCTTCGGAACTACATCAATACATGAGAGATATGAGCAACCACCTGCTTCTAATGGTTATCATTCTACACTACCCTTGTGAGTATTATCAGCATACCATATTTTATTCAGAGTTTAGATGTCTGTTTGAGAGTTCCTGTTTGGGAGTTATCTGCGGAGTAGACGTGTCACATATATATATATATATATATATATATATATATATATATATATATATGCATGCATATATATATGATCATCAGAAAAAACAAGTATGGAAAGACACAACGGCCGAAGAAATAAGGATACCAATTAGATTAGAGTTTATTGACTCGAAATGGCCGTCATACTACTGCTTAATCTTAACGATTTCTGGAACCCATAACGGCACATCTTATGTCGAGAGATGGATTCTTTGAGATCATGACAAACCCTTATCTAAGCAACAGTATGAGTAACGACGTAAAGGACAAGTGGTACAAAATAAGGCCATTGTCAGAACCGGTGAATAGGAAGTTTACGGAACCATTCAAACAATGGGAAGACGTGTGCGTCGACGAGTCGATGGTGCTATTTGAAAGACGAATTGAGTACCGCCAGATCGCATCTTGTAAAATGAACAGATATAGAATAAAGGTGTTCAAGTTTGTGGTCAAGGTGGGTACATCTATGGAACGAGGATTTGCATAGGTGCTGGCAAAAATCCGACCACTTGCAGGTGGATTGGTATTGGAATTAATAAAGGACCTTCTAGATCAACAAGGATACCTTTTCGTCGACAAGTGGCTTTTCAATGGTTACCTAGCCGAGTAACTGTTGCAAAGAAATACATACCATACTGGAACATG